AAAAAAAGCATACACCGTTTGCTGCGGATCAAAGATCCAATGAACTTTCAGCTGCGGGTTTGCACGATATGAACAACCCGCGTGTGTCAAAAGAGAGAAAATGATTGCTTCTTTCCTGTGTATCGCCACTTGACGTACACTAGAAAACCTTTTCCCTCACGGAAAACAAGCAGAATAGGTTAAAAAGGAAAACATTTTGAGACTGGGTGAGCTTCACATGAATATACCTCTTTGTGTATAAGATGCCTAGGGTGACAGTGACAGCGCTGCTTGATATATATGGTGCAATGTTTTTCTTGCATTCACAAACTACAGAAACATCGTTTTTTTTGGCGGGACATTATATTGAGCCTTTCAATTTGAGAACCCAAATGAAGTATTCCCTAGTAGCTGAAAGGTGCAGTTTCAAATAAAATTAAAGTTTTCTTTCCATAATAGTTCAATGACAATAGATACAAACACCCGCAGAGCATGCCTTACACAATGCAGATGGTTTAAAATGCTTATTACCCCACACACGTGCCTCATTCCTTTCTCTCAGCTGATTCAAAATGACCAGCTTCACAACAGACTGTCCATCTTGCGCAAAAAAATTCAAAACTTTGTATTCGCTTAAAAAACATGTTCGCCAACGCCATGAGGACATTGATGAAGATTCTCTGATACCATGCTTTAAAGATCAGGACGGCAAGGAATTACAACCCGCACACGCCAGTTCTCTAAGAACCGACAAAGCCGGCTATTTAACGTGGTTGGCCGGCATAACTGAACGGGTCAACAGTACATTTCATCCTCGATTACCAGGTAAAGATTTCATAATTCCAGTTTACATTGTTCCCTATTCTGCCCGCCATAATAAAGCACACTTGGTTTAATGTAACAAACCCAGCTTCCACCGTTTACACGACGTATAAGTAGGGTTCTAAGTTGCAAATAGGAAATCACAGCTTAAGCCAAAGTCTTAGTGTTTGATTTAACCGGTATTATTACTATATTATTATCTATGTTTGGATTGGCACCATAGAAACACTACATTCATATCTACAGATACCTATGATACGTACATTAATACACTAATTCACCTTTAGGCGTTTAGCCATGGTATATTAATATACGCCCCCTTTGAACATTTCATTTTGTTATTACTAACCACAATTCTCCTACTGACTTTTAGGTCCGGAAAACCTAAATTTAAGTGAAAGCTTTTGGCCAAAACGTAAGAAAAACGAGTAATACTAATTTAATTTACGCACGGAAATTACCTGTGTGCTGGAGGTTTTTATCATTTTTACTAATAGACATCTGAACAACAACACGAGATTTCCTTAAATCATGGAATCAGTTATTTCTCCCATACCTGATAATTTAGTTAGAACGGATCTCTGAAGCTAGGGCACGTTAATCCATTTTTAAAATCATTCAGTGCTGTTGGATACAAGAGTTCGTAATTTTTTTTTCAATAACAACATCAATTCCAACAAACAACAGGTCATAAATCACGAAATCTTGTCGTGAGAAAAAATTTCCAGTGATAAATCCCTAGTCACATTTAACTACAAAGGCATCTTCACATATAAATTTAACTACACGCTTCACAGAAGCTGACAGACCATATATTTTTATTGTAGGGAGATGGGTAAAAATAGATTCCCATCAGGTGCCAAAACAGTACTTTGAATGCTTTATCACGAAACTTGGAGTCCAGGTTAACGCTGTCAGACGAGTGTGCCACAGAGGTCAACCATGTTACCAGAGTGCCACTCTAAAAGTATCGTACAAACTGTTCCGCTTGGAGCCACTAGTAAGTGCCTTGGAGGAGCAACCGCTTGTGAGCCTGCAGCGACAACTCCTTTTCGAGGGAAACGAAATCTGCAGTAATCAAGGGGATCTTTCTGCAGAGGACGAAATTGCTCGCGCAAAGGCAAGAGTCCATACACCTGCAGGAAAGAAAAAAAGACCATCTTCTAAGTCCTTATTGCAAGTCGGGCTTGGTGAGGGACGTGCAACTAGAGAGGTAGAAATTATATGGTGGCCAAATGTATATACTGTGACAGAGCACGGCCAAATGATTATCCGAATGTATATACAGAAATGTGATTTTTAAACGTGAAATATTTAAAAACCTATTTACTCCCAGACAATTGGAAAAGATCATAATTATTCTTAAAAGCTCAATTTTACTGATCAAACTAATGGTGAAACGCAAAAGTATCAGAATGGACTTAGTTACACTGCAGGATTTGCTCTTCTTACCCAAAAGGTTAATGTGGAAGAATATCACACGTCTTTTCCTTAAATTTGGGTCTGGGAGTGAAATGTCTCACATAATTATGCTACAGTTATTATTTTTTTATTGCCCTTATGCATGTTCACGTCAGACCGGCACATTATACCACCAACTTACCAGTGTACTTCAGTTGAAAAAAAATTCTCATGCACTATTAAAGAATGAAAATGCAAAGAATTTTGTCCACAGACGAGGCTTGTCAGTGAAATAAGCACGGCTGACGTCAACAAGCATATGGCCTTTAATAGAGAAGGGCACTGTAACTAGCCAGTAGTTACATTGTAGGATACTTATATGTACAGGAATGCAAATGTGCCTAGGTGTGTAAATTACCACAGTATTGTACACCTGCATCAATGACAGAGTCCTTGAAAGTTTCAGTTCTTGTTTGCGTGGTTTCTGTTTTTCCTTGAGACTGACCACAACCAACCTACTCTTCGCAATTTCAGTGCCCAGGGTTGTCCATTTGATTTTTAGAGGTGGGGGATTTGTTTTGGCAAGATTATTTTTTTAAGATTTTGGGGTGTAAACATACACCTAACTGTTTTTTGTTGTTGTTGTTGTTCCAATTCTGTTTGTTGGATATTTTTTTTCTGAAATTCTCCCTCCCCCAGAAATCATATGGTCAGCCCCCATTAAGCATTCACAAATGTCGCAAGATTTATAAACATGATCACCCAAGTTTAATTCTCTTGTTATTAACCTTTTCCACTTTTATGATGGGTGGCTTTTCATGGAGTGACTAAGTGTGCCACGTACATGTGTATCAGTCGCTGTCCCTTTTATATCGTACTATGTTTGTAGTTCTTGCAATAAATACCAAAGTTAAACTCAAACTGACCTCTACTTTTTCCACTGAAGAACAAGGGTCATCAATTCCTTTCTTAAAGTAGACATTTCCTCAAAAACCCACTGAAATGGGGCAGGGCAGGTTTGATTCTTGATTACGTCTCGCACTGAAAGAATTACACCTATGCCACAACTCGCAGCACCTTGTCCAGTTGAAGTTTGCCTTGGCATATTAATGCGTGGCAAAGGCAGAGCAAGTTTAGGCTGGTTCCACTCTTGCTCATGGAAAATGTCATTGTCGGACAACCATTTAAAGCCACTTAGCATGTTCTTGACGATAACAATGGTGTCTCTTGGAGGAGACAGCTTAAGTCCATCGTCAAAATACACAGTTTGGTTTGCTGTATCGAAACACAACACCCCCCAGTGCTGAGGTGTATCAAAATGAAGTGGTGACAAAATATATTTTGCGCTGTTAACAGCACAGTGGCCAAAGAATGGTCTCACCATTTGGCTGAAGTATCTTGCTCCTTGCATTGCCCATGCTTGGCTAAATGATGGGAGGAAGACAATTTCAACAGGCTTGCTGTCCTCAAGAAATTTTGAACAGATTGTATCGATTGCGAAGCCATTGACATAGCGTTCACATGCTAGTGTACTGAAGTCAGTAGCATCCATGATACAAGTGCCTTGTCTGATAATTTCTTCTTTCGGTCTTGAATTGAGCAACACATCTCTAACTTCATCGAGATGGCCTGGTAGACTTCTGTTACCGTTTGAGAACCATCGTTGTTCTTCGCGGACACGGGCAGCCATTGAAGCAACTGTGCACATTGTCTGAAATACACCAACTGACTCCTTTGAAAAAGTTCCAAGGCGACCTAACGTTACGATAGCTTTGTCATCACAGTCATCGTCACTGTCAACATCAATTGGTCCCACGTTCTTTCTTTTGGAATCTTCCCTAAATAACTTCAAGGCATGCTCTACCGCACTTTCAGATGGACGTAGACTAACAGAGAGTGGGTCTTTCACTTCAGTTTGGTCCAGAGCAAGCATGATATCGTCATTGGAAATGGAAGCTACTCTGGGTAGAACCAAAGCTGCTATTTCTCCACGAGTAAGGAGGTTGACCCTGTCCAGTCTCAACAACAAGTTTTGGTTGGAGGGTGCACTGTCAGGAGGTTTAGTTGCTCTGATCCGGTCAAACTGTTTTGTTGATCTTTCTACTGGGGTAGCTTCAGTGCTGTTAATAACTGAGGGTGCTGTTGTTGCTGCAGATGTTACAGAGGCCATTGTAGCTGTACTGCTGCTGCCATGTTGCTGTGGTGTTGCTGCTGCTTTTGGTGACCCTATGGCTGCATATGCGTTGTTGTTGACGTGCTGTGGTGCTGTACCTGCAATGTCACTGCGGGTCTGGTGTTCTGTTGCCAGTTTCACCTTGGTTGCTGTTCTGCTATACTGCTGTGGTACTGGTGATGGAATGTCATTCTTGAAGGTTTTTTCCCATTCCTCATGTTGGTACTGTATCAGTGGAAACTGCCCCGCTACCACCACACAGTGCTTTGTCTTCTCTGTGTACTCATATTCACAGTAATCGGGACCAAACAGGTTGGTGAAGAGCTCGTCCATTCTATGAATCCACTGTCTGTCCTCTTTATTCCAGTGCATTCTTTTTGCCTTCCAGCCACACCCTCTGTAGTAGAATAGCTCCCCTGAAATAATTCATATACTAATATAAAACTTAAATCCTTATGGTACTTTTCAAAAAAAGGATTAATTGACTGGCTTGGTTAATGGTATATGGACAAGGGCTCAGGTATCCATAAAAATGAGTATGATGAACTCAATTATGTCGTGGCATAATTTTTATTTCCTTTTATACATTCACCATCTAAGATGTCATGGCTGCAATGTTTCTTTGATTTTTTTCTAATTTTGTTTTTCTCAGCCCTATGGATCGGAGATAAAGGAAACGAAAATGTGAAGGTTTGAAAAATTCATACACTGAAAAAAAAAAAAAGTGAAACCACAAGTGGATCCACTATCATGTAAACAAAAAGCAAAGACAAATAGAACTCATGCTTCCAAGTGAAATTAAACCTTTATCATTCCTCAGTAGTGCATTGATACCCTTAATTCCGATTCCAGCCTTACCTGTTGTCATGCACTGCTTAGCCTCTCTAAATGCCAGCCTCATGTTCAGTAGCATCTCTGTGTATAGATGTGCGAGAATTTGATCCACTACAAATCAGAAAAATAATAAGACTTTAATGACCCTGTTATTTCTATGTGGGTGTCGGCAGATACTTGAAAATTGTACAATATAGCGGTACCGCCAAATTACAGAATTACAGTCCTCTGATCCTTGATCTGAGGGAAAGATTTGCACTGCTTTGCAGGGTGTGGGAAGTCACTGTAGGCCCTTGCTCCCCAGTACATAACTGATTTTTTCATAAATTCAGTTTGCAATGGTGAGGGACTGCAGGTGTCCATTCAATGTAGGTTTTTTTGCATTACTGTCAACACAGATTTTTGCATTAAAGATTCAAAGTATTTGGGGTCACAACGAGGCAATATTATAACTGTGTTATCAAGAACGTCTTTCATTCATGGCAATGAGCTTAAATATTTCACCAGCAAGATTGTATTTGCCCGAAAAGCCTTCTAGACTGACTTTATTCTTAGGGTTTAGAAATTTGGGGGACTCGGGGAGGGGTGGGGGGGGGGGCATGCGCTTCATAGTAATTTACATGCATGGCATAAGTCATGTGAAATCACACATACATGATGAAGTATTGCCTGATGCATCATGAGATGTTGCCCTTGTGTAGAGCTGTCTTTGGAGCTTGTGTGCAGCTTCAAAACCCTGGTTTGACAATTGTCCCAGGGAACGATGCCTTCGAAAAAGCATGGGCACATGCTCCACTGTAAGGTGGCCATAGTCTCCTGTACCTAGGCTGGTGCCAAACATCTCCAAAAGGAGGAAGCCCCATTCTTTACACTAGAAAATAAGATTCAAAACTCAACATCACAATGTCCCACAAAAACTACCCTGTGTTACCATTTACAATGCTGAGGATACAATAGCATGGCCCAATAGAGTTGAGACACAACAAGAATTTCTATGTGCAGGCCTTTACAGTCAGGAATGTGGCGCTGAATAATTGCAGAGCCTGAGGTCACCGTTCGTGGAATGGGGTCTTGAAATAACTGATACTTAAAGGTACCCTCTATAATGCTTCAAAACAGCTAGGCCTTAATGTATGGTTCAGACAACGACATAGAAAACTAATATTGTACTCCCATTTTCATTATATAAAACTGACATTAACCCAGTGTCTTCGGTTAGCCTTTTAAATCTAAATGATGTAGGCTTATAAATGTGTATATAATGTAAGAAAACTTAAGCAGCAGAAGAACAAAATAGAAGGATTGATGCAAACCTTAATGTCAAAAACGTCAATCAGGTGCTCTTCGCTCCCCTTAAACTCAGTGTCTCTTATGGTGAATGCTATCTCCTTCCATAACGAGCACACCTACAAACAAGAACAAACAACTTTTATGTATAGAGTTAGCTACAGTAAAATGCAATTTAATGGTTAATGGTTCACACACCCCTCTGTCTTAAATCCATGTCTATTTGCACCTCTCCGACTAAAGACTAGTCGTAGATTGTTTTCTTGTGTCTTTCCATAAAAGGTGAGGAAATATTATTTAACACAGAAAAATGTGTCAAGTGTATTATAAATACTTAGTGTTAGTAAACTTGTAATAATGTTGGGACTGCATTTTTTTCCAGAGTATCACCAATTATTATATAGCCCTAAATTTTTACTACTGTTGAAAGGATATGACATGTTTTGTGGCGTAAGTAGATATAGCATCTATGATTGTACTGAAAATGAAAAAAATCCTTTGCTGACCTCAGATCAGCCAGCAAAGATTATGTGAGTGTTATATCAAGTACAGCTGTGCACTGGTCAGTAATTTTTTATATCTCAAATCCTTTAGCAATGACAATCAAC